GACATGCCCCTGTGGGAGGTGCGGCAAGTGCTGTTTACGGTCAGTAACTAAGGGCGCACCCGCTTAATGGGACGGGACGGGCACAGCCATCAGGAAGACATAACGCGGGACGTCCTCAGGAGACGCACGGGGAGGAATTCGGGCTTAAGGGCCTCGATGTCTACCTTTGCTCCCAAAGGGTTCTGGAGAAAAATGTGTGTATGTGTGTATGTATATGAGCACATGTGTGCATGTGTGTGCAGGTGTGTATGTATGTGTGTATGGGTGTGTGTGTATGTATGTTTGTATGTGTGTATGCATATGTATATGTGTATGTGTGTATATGTGTGCATGTGTGTGTATATGTATGTGTGTGTGTGTGGCAAAATATTAAGGACCACTGAATCTAAATGGACACAATACAGCCATTCATTTTACGATTCTCTCAGCTTTTCTGAAAATTTTAAAAAGTTTTAAAAAGTTGGGAAAAGAAAAAAATATATATATATACTATTAAATATAAGAAAATGTCTCTTTTATGGAACTAGCTATAACATGCTGATTCAAAACAGTAGGCAGAAAGCAATATAATTAATGTCATTTTTATACGCAAATATATGTGTCGCATACATGGGGAAAAGCCAGGAAATACATACACCACCAAGATATTGAGTGGTTCTTGCTGCGATTATACTGCTACTTGTGCTTTTCTCTGTTTTCTACGTACAGTGCATTCATAGTTTGTAATTAGGTGAAGAGCAATCAATATTATTTTAAAACGCACAAGGAGGGCCTGGCCCTTGCACCCGATAGGGGATCGGACCGCGGCACTCCCAGCTGGCGCTGGAGAATTGGCCGGTGAGGGAAAAACCTGCACGTTGGGGTGACCACAAGTGTGTTGAGTGCCGGGAGTCCCGAGGGTGAGAGCAGAGCTGTTTGTTTCCTCCTACTTTACAGCATCCATAGAAAACCAATGCAGCATCAGTTGTTTTGGAAAACAGAGACTATTTTAACCAATTGTGTTTCAATCCGTAAAAGTGGTTTGGAGCTACCCATGACCGTTAAGAGTCTCCCGACCGGCCCTGCCAGGTGGGTGAGGCCAACTGCAGACGGGTCTGCAAGCGTGTGAATACGTGGTTTAAAAAAAAAAAAAAATCCCCGAGAGGACAGGCTATGAGTGTGACAGCCCGGGCTTGCCTACCCTAAAGGGACGGGGCTTCGCGCTGCACGCACCTGCCTCTCGGCTCCCCTGCCTCCTCCTCTCCTCCGCCCGCTGCTTGATCAGCGCCAGGGCTGCGATGCTGTCCGAGATCTTCTTCTGCTCTCTGCTGTCCCACTGCTGCCTCTCCGCCTTCTCAGCCGCGTACCCTCCCCTCGCCCAGGCCTCCGCACAAGCTCTTGGTTAAAAAATAAAGACACAAAAACGGGGGCGGGGGGTGACTTTTTACAGGTTAAAAGCGAATTCTGAACACATGCCATCAGACCAAACTTGTTCATTTTCTTCCAAATCAAAGCCAAGGGCACATAAGACAGGTAGCTGCAAAGGTGAAAATTAACACGGGTACACTTTGGCCTTTAAAGTCCAATCTGGGCCAGGCTGGTGTGGTGGCTCACGCCTGTAATCCTAGCACTCGGGGAGGCCGAGGTGGGTGGATCATTTGAGCTCAGGAGTTCGAGACCAGCCTGAGCAAGAGCAAGACCCCAGTCTCTACTAAAACCAGAAGGAAATTAGCCGGACTAATTTCCAACTAAAAATATACATAGAAAAAATTGGCCGGGCACGGTGGCTCATGCCTGTAGTCCCAGCTGCTCGGGAGGCTGAGGTAGGAGGATCGCTTGAGCCCAGGAGTTTGAGGTTGCTGTGAACTGGGCTAACACCATAGCACTCTAGCCTGGGCAACAGAGCGAGACTCTGTCTCAAAAAAAAAAAAAAAGTTAAAACACGATCAAAAGGCTTTTCTCTTCTTACCTGTCCTTTGGAAAAACGGGTCTATCATCCAAGTACGTTAAGTGTTTTAGCCGAACAGTGACTGTCCTTCGGTAATTAGGAATGTGCCTAATAACCGGGTTTCCCATCAAATTCAGTACACGCTGTAAGAAGACAAGCAGAGCCAAACCGATTACTAAAAAAAGATGTGATTAAATGATTTTATATGTGCTGTGCGCTAAGAATAAATTACATAAAATTGATTTTTCTTTTTCTTAATTGGGCAACTCTTCATCCCATAAAAATAGAATAAGTGTTCCCAAAATTGATTTTCTTGAGCAAAACGGCAGTGCCGATGTCATGTGCTGGTGACTTGATCAGAGAAATCAGAAGGTTTTCCTGGCTCTTGAGACATCAGAACTGTCTAGATAATTGAGCAGCCCTTTCTTCTTGAACTTCAGGTCTGAGACCTCCTCGTCCTTCCAGAACGATATTGGAAAACATTTCCTGAGGCCTTTTCCAAGTGCAGTTGATTGTGTTAGTTTTGCTACCCAATCTCTTTTACTGAAATTAATCTCAGTGTAATTGACCATTTTCTTCCCTTCCCAGCCAGGGCCCATTTTAAGAAAACACACCCAGCGGCCAGGCAGATAGGCGGCAGTGACTAAGGGAAAAAACAGGCAGTGCCTACTCTTCTCCATGACAGCGGCCAGGAGGGAGGGCCCTTCGGGTGGGGTGGGGGTGGGGTACGCATCACGATCTCCTCCTAGGGCCAGCAAAGAGGAAGGGGTTCTGCGACGCCAGCCTGCCATCCGTCCCCAACTTTAAGTACCATCGCCTCCTCTCTTGCTTTAGGAAACTCAAAGAAGGTGAATGGTTAAGGCTATTTTAAAATCTGTTTGCCCAAACAGATTAAATATTTGTCATATCTAAAGTGACTTTTATTGACGGAGAAGGCAAATATATTTTAAACTGGTTAGTTTGGCATTTCCCAGGCCTCATTCGAGTGCCGTCTCCACCATTCTTGCCGTATTTTCAGGCAACTTATCCTGCAGGGGGTGGGGTTGGGGGCAGGCAATAGAGGGGTCTATGGTGAATGTAAAAGCAACCACAAAACAACTGCTTTTGTCATGGGCTGAATGGTGTCCCACGTGGAAGCCCTAACCACCAGCACCTCAGAGTGCCACCGAACTTAGAGATCAGACCCTTAAAGAGGTGATTGAGTTAGAAAGAGTTCATTAGGGTGTGCCCTAATCCAATCCCGCTGGTGTCCTTATAAAACAAGATCAGGACACAGACAACGAACAGCACAGAGGGATGGTCACGTGAGGACACAGAAGGAAAATATTAAAACTAGCAAACAAAACCCTACAAGCCACAGAGAGAGCCCTCAGGAGAAACCAACGCTGCCGACACCTTGATCCTGGACTTCTGGCCTCTAGAATTATGAGAAAATAAATTTCTGTTGTTCAAGCCGCCCAGCCTGCAGTAGTTATGGCAGCCCTGGCAAAACAAAACAAAACAAAAAAGGATTATACTATAATACAGCTTGATGTTCTCACCAAGTGCTGGCAATTCTAAAATAGTCCTTCTCAATAGTCCATGCTACAGGTTGTTCCTAAACTATTGATGCGATTTGCTTATTATCTTTCTTTCAATTGACTCACTTTTTTCCCTTATCCATACCCTAAGCATACATAGTGAACTCAAGGGTTTTGTTTGCTAGTTTTAATATTTTTCCGCATAGTGTACATGATAATACATACACGCTAAAAAGCAAGGAAGCCATCAAAGGCCACTAGAGCTGAGTCCAAAGGGTACAGGAACCAACCTGGAGGGGCTCATGGGGCCAAAGGCCAGGAAAATTTGAACACCAAGAGTCAAAATGACAGCAAGGGTTACGTCATACCAAATACCTTTCTCTATGAATCTGTGAGTTTATAGTGACACCGAAAGAGAAAAGGCCCTCACTGTCACCACTAGAGGCTGCTGGGGGGTCTCGGCTCACCTTCCTGAAAATCGATAAACCAGAGGGCCAGACGTTAGCTCTGGCCTTGTCTGCAGGAACCACGCTCGCTGATGAGCCAAGCGGCTTTGCAGAAGCATTCCAGCTAACAGACGCCAAAGGAATAAGAGGAATACAAAGTGACCACTGCGCGACCGCCCGTGAGACAACGCATGCAGGCGAGGCTCGGCGGTGACTGCTCACGGAACCGGGGAGGAGGACTGATGGGGAACTTCATGACGGCTGCTTCTGTCAGGCTGGCAGCGTCTGAACTCACTGATCGGTTTGAATCGACAGAAGGACAGGTGAGCAGACATGACGTGCTCTCTGGCGCGACGCAAGGGAAGGACGTCACCCACCTCAAAGTAACTATGGGACTCAGATCCAGTCAAGCCTCTGGCTCCGTTACCATTTTACCGGAAATACTGGGGACGGCAGAACACGTTAAATGACACCGCGAGGACACAATCGGCCACGTCCAGGATGTGAGAAACCACCAGACAAGGGACTTGATTTCTTTGAAAAACTAACGCGGTTGGGGAAAAACTAGGAAGGGCGGCGGTTACAGATCAAAAGAGACAAACGATCCAGATGTAAACATCTGAATGTGATTTGGACGTGAACGGCCCGCCGTCAAACACACACACGTGTGAGACAGGTGGCGAAAACTGAACACAGACTGGGCATTAAATGTAGTCGTTGTGATAATTTAGACACGATGGTAGTGTTGGGATTATGCTCTGAAAAAGTCATTACCTGTCAGAGATCCACACTGAACTACCTGTGGGTGCAATGCAGTGATAGCTGTCATGTAAGATACAGCTAGAAACACACACAGAGGGAAAAAAAAGCGTGAAAGAAGGAAGAAAGCAAGGCGGGAAGGGGGAAAAAAGAAAAGTTAGGGCTTGCTGTTCAATGAACATAAAACAGCGCGAGCGAGTCGTTTCCTCCCGGGCTCTTTCGTTCCGTTTTGTTTTTACCAGGTCGGGCATGTGCTCCAGAACGCTCAGGATCTCGGGGTCGCTCAGCTTGTTGTGGGAAAGGTCGAGGACACAGAGGCTCAGGCACTGCTTCAGGTGCTGGATGTCGCCCACCGTCTCCAGGTGGTTGTGGGCCATCTGCAGGGTGTTCAGCACGGGGAGGCAGGCTGGCAGGCGGGGGAGGGACAGGTGTCAGCACAAGTAAACAACGAAGGCATAAAAATGATGCCTTTCACCCACGGCATAAAATTTTACAACCCCCCCCACCCCCCACCCCTGGGGAAAGCGGCGCACACAGGGCGGAGAGAAAGACTGCGCCTGCCGGGCGCGCTTACAGAGGTTTTCGATGGTCTTGATGTAATTGTTGCTGAGGTTAAGAGCGTCCAGCTTCTGCAGAGGCTCCAGGTTCTCAATCTTACGAAGCAAGTTCACTTGCAAGAAGAGGCACCGCAGCTCCGTCTGGGCCTCCAGGTTCTCGATCTTCTGTATGCCGTTGCACTCCAACCACAGACAGCGCAGCCCCGTGTACTCCTCCAAGTTCTCGATGCGATCGAAGCCTAGTGGGAAGGAGGGGGGGGGGTGTCAGTTAAGCTCCTAACACCCACACGCGGGCAAGGGGGCAGGGCCGCCCTTGGTTTTGCCTACTGCTAGGCGCCCAATGTCTATGTCCCTTTAAAATACATATGTCGAAATTGAGAACTAAAATAAAATCTTAAGCCCCTAGCCCCCAGATGACAGAATGGACCCCCCTCTTGGCCAACAGGGACCCCAGGGAAACCTTGAAGCTGAGCTGCTGGCCGTGCGGACCAGGGAGGTGAGACCCGCCTTGTCACGCTCCCCTCCCTTTTGGAGTTGCTCTTTGTAACAATAAAGACACTGAATCGTTAACAGGCCCAAGGCCATGCCAGACAAAGCTTGCTCCACTTCCACGCCTGCAGACCATCGATGCACTGACACATCCCTCGAGTCCGGTGTGTGTCCATATATGTCTGTGGCTTGTCTCTGATTAACAGACATCCTCAAGGCAAGACATTCCAAGCCTTTAGACGAGGTTTCATTTTTAACAATTATAATCAAGAAGCCTTAAACCACCTATATTCTATAGGCTCCACCACCACCTCCCTTGGGATGTTAGTCATTACTCATTTATTATCCTCTCTCCAGGAACCTTGGGAGGAATGCGCCATCTGCCATTCACTCCTCCCCTCTCAATCCTTGGGTCACCACCTTGGCTAAGTTTCCCGGAACATCCCGGTTGTTGAATGCCATTGCCGGTTCCCAACCGCCCCAACCGGCCCGAGGTGTCTGCCCCCGAGGGCCCTGCCTCTTTGTCTGAACTTTCTAGGGAGAGGGACTCCTGAGACCAACCGAATCCAGCCTGTGGTGACGCCTCTTTTCCGTGACGGGGCGTCTGTCTTGGCCTCAGCCTTTCTGCTCACTCTCGGGGACGCCAGGGGCCCTAGAGAGGCTCTCCGGTGAGGAATGGAGGCCTCTGGGCCGGCGGCCAGTGGGGCCTGAGGCCGGGAGCCAGCCCGATTTCGGCCGCCAGGCCGGCTTCAGAGAATTAAGGCCTGGCTGATAGTTTGACTCCAGCAGCCTCATGAGACACTCTGAGCCTCGGCTCCCGCGCGGGCCACTCCCGGGGGCCTGGCCTCAGAGGCTGTGGGGTAATGAAGGTGCTTCAAGTTGCTGGAGTTTTAAGGTAATTTGTGACGCAGCAATAGGCACTGCTCTCTCCCAGCCCTCTGTCCCTCCCTGACTCTGTCTAGAGCAAGAGTCTTTCTGGCGACGCTGGATGGGGATCGGTGAGGGACGCCAGTCAGGAGTTTGTTCCGAGCCCCGCGGGTCTCGAGCCTAGGGGGGCTTTGCGCGTCTCCCTGCATGGCGCCGTGCTCACAAGTGGTGAGGCTGCCCCGTCCCCAAGATGCCTTCCGGCACGCAGAAGGCTCTCGGAGCACTTTCGATAAATAAACGAACATAAAGTGACTGATAAGCAAGTTGGCCCTCCCACCCAGCACAGACTGGCAGCTCTCGCCCCTTTACATTGCTAGCAGTAGCCCCGCCTGGGACCTGCACTTAAATCTACGGTGGACCTGGACCCCAATCCCGAGTCCCGTTCCACCTCTCCGCCTGAAAGGGCACCCAAAGTTCCCCATCCTTTGTTCTTTGTGCCTGTCTTTAGCCCCCGCAGCATACCCCTCCCGCGCCCAGAGCACTTACACATCAGCTTTCTGGTTTGAAAATTTAAAAGTCCTTAGAGAACATAATAAAAGATACCATGTGCTTCCTAAGTATGCCCACAGCCAGCGGCCCCTTGATGAACTCTACTCAGCAAGACTTTTCTTGAAGAAACGTTACTGTTTTTCCATACATACATCTCACTGAACTCCGAAATTTCTATTTAACTATAATCTGAGAACTAAAGATGATCCCTGAAGTAAGGTTTTGTACCACTAGATATGGAGAGTCTTTTTAATTTTTTTTCTTTGTTGCCCAGGCTAGAGTGCTGTGGCGTCAGCCTCGCTTCACGGCAACCTCCAACTCCTGGCTCAACGATCCTCCTGCCTCAGCCTCCCCGAGCACTGGGACTAACAGGCATGCGCCACCGTACCGCCTAATTTTTCCATATATATTTTTAGTTTGCCAATTAATTTCTTTCACTTATAGTAGAGACGGGGGTCTCGCTCTTGCTCAGGCTGGTTCCGAACTCCTGACCTTGAGTGATCCACCTGCCTCGGCCTCCCAGAGTGCCA